CTCAAAGGTTCTTGAAGAAACAAAAATTTTTGCCAGTTCCTATCTCGAAATACATTTAATATATAATTTAATTGATATAAAAAGAGCTAAAAAAAGCCGCGTTGAGACATTTTCATATTGGATTGATTGATTTCCGGAATGTCATCCAATACGAATCGAGAAACGCTAATCTCGAGTGCGAATGTGAAGTAGCAGGCTATCTATTTGATAACGTCATAAAACGCGGTTATGTTAAACTAAGTAAATTCAAGTGAGGTTATTGATTTATTTACGATAACGTTGACGAGTATCTACACTTACAAAGAGCGATTTTCATTCTACTGACGCGGCTTATTCTCGGAGAACAACAATGGATTTCCAGAATCGTCCAGGCGGCAAAACCGGCGGTGGCGGCGTCGCCTCCTGGTCGGAGAGTAATCGCGATCGTCGGGAGCGTCTCCGTCAGCTTGCTTTGGAGACCATTGATCTAAACAAGGATCCGTATTTTATGAAAAATCACCTAGGCTCATACGAATGTAAACTGTGTCTCACTTTACACAACAATGAGGGCAGTTATCTAGCACACACTCAGGGTAAGAAACATCAAGCCAATTTAGCCAGGAGAGCTGCGAAAGAAGCCAAGGAAGCACCACAGACCCTTGCACCAGAAAAGCCCCGGGTCGAGCCGAAGAAATTTGTGAAGATCGGTCGACCTGGTTATCGAGTCACCAAGCAGCGTGATCCGGAGTCTGGCCAGCAGAGTCTGCTGTTTCAAGTAGATTATCCAGAGGTGGCGGACAATGTGATACCACGACATAGGTTCATGTCTGCCTATGAGCAAAGGGTCGAGCCACCAGATCGCAAATGGCAGTATCTGCTGTTCGCAGCTGAGCCATATGAGACTATCGCCTTCAAAGTATGATTATTTCTGAAGAATGTTTATTAACATCAGTATCATTAAATTACTTGTCAATTTTGTAATATTACTTTCAAAAATTTGTAATAATACTTTTAAACCTTAATTAAGTTAAAACAAATAGAAGTTTCTGTTTAATTATTCATATACATGTTTGATTTATCAGAATTGGACAAATAAATTTAAACGTATTCAATTTAAGACTTTTTATATGTCAAAATCAGCAAATAATTGATGCTCAGTTTACATAAATTGATTATAAAATTCATACAAAAATATTAAACATTGAGATGCATTTTGACTGAATATAACTCTTTTTACATATTTGTATGCTTATTTCTATGTTCTCACATTCTCTTTCTATTTGAATATTAGGTATTCATTTCATTGATTATGTTTGAATAATTAAAACAGGAATTTCCATGTTTAATATAAATGATATTTAAAAGTAGTAATAGTAGAAAAGTTTTTCTTTATTCACATAATCGATATTTTCTTTTTTCATAATCAATAGTTTCCTTATTCACATAATCAATATTATAGGTTCCTAGTAGGGAAGTGGAAAAGGCAGAAGGAAAGTTTTGGACTCACTGGAACAAGGACACGAAACAATTTTTCTTGCAGTTTGCATTTAAAAACGAGAAGCCAGCTGTGGGTAAAGTACCACCACCGCCAGTTCCTCTGATAAGACCAGGATTAGGCCCGATGGTGCCTGTTCCACCACCTCCGCCCAGACCGCCAATGTTTAATCCGGTACCACCACCACCAGCTCTCTTAGCACCCGGGATGCAAATACCTCCACCACCACCTCACATAGCATAAGGAATCTAGTGGGATACGAGACTTATATAAGGAATCTAGCGGGATACGAGATTCATATAATCTTTTTTATATTAGTGCTTAGATCTTTGCTATCTATGTTACAAAAGATTGATCTTATTCTAAATCACGAAACTTAAAATGTGTTTGGTTTGTATAATATAAGTGAAATCTAACTATAATTTTATAAGAACAAAACAAATTGTGAGAAAGGAACGAGACGAATGTGATTAAAAAAATGTTTATTTATCATTTCATCGAAATACATTCTCTGTAAATTAATATCGATCTTCTATCTTCACAGGTTGCATCAAAGTTTGAGTACTTACAAAGTACACGTTTATGAAGATTGATATTCTGAAAACAAAACGTATAAATTAGCATTTTATTTACATAAAATATTTAAGGATATTTCATAAAATTGTTAATCAGAATGCAACAATCTACACTAATGCATGACATTATGTTAAAATGCTATACAATTTTCAGACCGCCCGTTGCTGAATCATCACAATAACAAAAAGATATCACCGAAGAAAAAGTTTAAAGGGAAATTAACATACTCGATGATTATGCACACAAAACACATGCCCCACCAACTGCCTTGATCTTGTCCTCTGCCTGTTTGCTGAAGAATTTAGCCTTTACAATAACAGGTTGCTTCGGCAGGCGTCCTTTTCCTAAAAGTTTGTAATATCCCTGAAAAAAGTTGATATTGATATCAATAAATATTTATATATTTTATATGCCAAAATAAAAGTGCAAACGTAATTGAATTGTCGTGTTTTATTATATAATTTTTTTTTAAATATTTTATAATAATCAGAATGCAACATTCTACAGGAATATAAGTGTTGTACAGCACTTTTCAGTCCGCCCGTTGCAAATCATCATATGAGGAAATACAATATAAATATTTAAAAGAAAATATGATACACTGAAACTTTAATAGTGAACCTCGAAATAACGCACAACGCTATTATGAAGCTCCAGTGTACATAAAATTATGATTACAAAAAAATTACTTACCGCTTTGACAAGATCGATTACGGGAGCTTTGCCTTCAACATCTTTGTACTTCAATCTTGTCTGTTCAGAGACCAGAGTCCACAATTTGTCTAGATTTATAGTGGGACACCATTTAGTGTTGCGTCGTAGATGATAATTCCTCATACCGAGCTGTAAGTTGAAGAAAAAAATATCAATTATTTGTAAATTCTCAAATAACATTTTTATATAGTTATTAGAAATTATTCAGATTATACAAATACAATCAATATAATTCAGTTCGCCGGTGAAAATTGAAGTCTCATCATCTGATACATAAGATCTGTTCTTTCTAACTGAACTTCTTGCATCGTTCGTCTTTCCTCTTTATTTTTCTTCAACATTAAAAAAAAAAGAAGAAAAATAAATCATGCAAAAAGCTAAAAAATCTATAGCTATTTTTATCGTGCAATATTACGTAGATATATTCTTACCTTTCCAAAATAACCAGGATGGTATTTGTCAAAGTTGATTCGGTGATGGTGCAAACCACCGGCGTTACCGCGACCACCTGGATGTTTCCTATGCTTGCCTAAAAGATAATAAATAAAAAAATATATTAATCAGTATATATCTTTAATATATCTATCTGATAAAAAGAAAAAAAACAACTAGTTATATCAAAAGTTGAATCAAAATACAGAAGTCAGGACGCATGATAGAGGAATAATCGTATATGTATAAAAAATGAAGCATCTTTGATTCCAAATAACTTTAGTCGGAATTTTTATTCAAGGACTCCAGTTGAAATTTTGGAAGGAATATTCTACAATAACAAAAATTTAATTTCTTCTTTTTCAAAGACAAGAATGTGAAATTTTAATCTCAAATTCATAGTTATGTATTGTGCCGTTTATTTATTAGCATCATTTATTATATTACTAATACTAATTTATATTTACTTTATGCATGTGGTAGCTACAACAAATTTTACCGGGTAAACTTACCAACGCGACCGTGGCCATGGCTCACGTGTCCACGTAACTTCCTGGTCTTCTTCTTGTGTGTAGACTAGGTAAACATAACAAAGTAATGCAAAAGATCAACAATACACAATGATGACTAATGTTGAAATTAACGATTAATTCGAAAATTGTCTTCGATTATGTTATTCAATATGAAATAATGATCGTTTAGGTTAACACTTTCCGGTTTAATAAAAGACATATTGTAACATTCTCTTCGCGAATGTAATAAATGCAGAAAATTATCCATGATAATGTTAATTGTATGTTTAATGGAAATAAATTGGGAATAATGCGACGATGTCTTTAATATCTTTGGATTATTTTGGAGATAGCACAATACAAAAACACTCACCATGCCGACGAAGTAATGAAGGAACAAAATCGTAACAGTCCTGCCAATGCAAATCCATCAAAATGTATATTGCACATGCGCGTTGGAAAGCTCAGCCAGCAAATTAATGGAAAATCTTCAAATGTGACAGTCAATAAAGTAGATTTGTGACCAACTTGCAACTGATTATCATCTGCCGCAAAAGAACTATATGTGATTAAAAAAATAATGGTTTCATTTTCTTCGAATTGCATCAATATACTACATACTTTATTTATTGACAAATCTTTCTATTATTATTATTTTATACCACTTTAGGAAGTGTAAAATAATAAGAGAATTCCGTTAGTCCACATCTATTTACATTGACCAGTGTCTAGTAATTTTCCCGTGTACACTAAGAATATTTTATATTAAATTTATCACTTTTTTAAATATTATGGATAATCGAATTTTTTTCAATAAGATATATATAAAATTAAATACGTTAATAACTAATTTAAACAATGTATTAGCAAAATAATTAACAAAATTATTGATATAAAATTGATTTTAAAAAATTAATACATAATTATATAAATATTTTTTGTAAAAGTTACAATTACTTTTACACTTAAGACACTACAGATGTGTCACGTAAAAATAAATTTTTTTTCCTAAGAAATAAAAATACATAACATAATTGATTGGATGATATATTGTTCTTACACAAGAGCTAAAAGTGAACAAAGAAATGGAGAATAAGTATAAATTTAATATTTATTTTCAATTTATGAAATACCTATATAATATCTATACATAATTTAATGATTCGTAGTAAAAATATTTATTGTCTATAAAACTGTTAATTTTTATCAAATTTTTTAGTTGACGGCGTTAATGAAACTTTGGCGGTGTCAGAGTTAGCACTCGTTTATGCAACTTATCAACTTTTATGCAACTCGTAAATGCACATTTTGATGTGATTATGTACTTTACGATACGGATAATCTGGTCCCGGGTGATTCTGGTGTATCTTCGCGCGTTGTCTTAGGAGTTGGATATGTATATATCCATTGTTTTAATATTAAAATATGTTCTCTCTCTCTCTTTCTCTCTCTCTCTTTCATCTACTTCATATGCAACCTCTCCTTTGCCCAGTATCCTCCAAGTCTAAAAAGAATATTATTTTTTTAAGTATATAAAATTAAAATATAAAAAATAAACAATATTTGAAGTGGTTAATAATAGCGCTATATAGGATTCGATGTTTTCATAAAAAGCTTTTGATAAAAAGACAAAGTATGAATTAATGAAGAAATGAATGAAAATTGGTAATAATATAAGCAATATCGATGTAAAAGAGAATTACATAAGCTAATAGTAAAGGTATAATAATAAAAGTATAAGTTAATTGAATTTTAATTTACAATCCGATATATAATATAATATCCTATAATATATAATATATAATAATCTATATAATCTTTATATGTCATTTATACTCAAGATGAAGTGTTAACAAAAAATAGGTTTTTCTAGAAATAAAAATATGATGTACATAATTTATAAAAGTATAGTCTTACGATCATGATACGATCATTAATATCATTAGTCGAGTTAGACTTACAAGTTAGTTTAGATGATTACCCGAATGAAGCTTTAAATTGTGGTTAGAATGTGGGTGAGTTCAAGTTAGGACTGCCCGGTGTTGACGAGGGCGTTGATGGGGTACCTGGTGGTGACGCTTCCAATGGACAAACCAAATTGCCGAAATCCATCTCGTTTTTACTCTTCTTGCGTTTCAGTGTGAATTGAGATTTCTTTGGTACCTGTGGATAAAATATAATAATTATTTACTATTAAAAAGTATTAATATCATAATAAGATAGGTATAAGAAATAATTACAAGATTGCAAGAACTTTTATCGTATTCTTTAGCATGAGATAAATAATAATAAAAAATATAACGCACCTTTAATCTAGCAGTAAGAGTCAATGGAATAAATCCGAGAGTGCTCTCTATCTCTCGCTTTTGTTGAACTACCTCTCTGCCGAGAATCTGATTGAAATGCGTTGTTAGGTGTCTACGAAGTAGAGTCTTTGCCGGTGGAATGCTGAGCAATGTAGCGAGCAGCTCGGAAGTAAATCGACCTTCGTGAATAATCAAACCGCCATGAACACCGGAGCCGCGCATGTTCGGTGCGTATTCCGCAAGATCCACGACTCGTAGCCATTCCATCACACGATGATTCGTCCAGAGACTCACATTCGTACCATCGGCACCGTTCCCAGTCATAGATCTTCTCTCCAAATTATCAAACTCGAAACTTAAATCTCGTAAAACCTACATGAATTGCATCTCGTTTCAAATATTGACTCCAAATTTATGGTCGATATTCCGTAGAATACAAGCTAATAGTAATGTTACATCAATATTATAATTTCTCACTCAACGATATAAATATAATATATGATATAACACATATTGTACATAACAGTTACATTGGTAACATTGTTGAGAAAAAAATTATAACATTGACATTATTATTAGTTTATGTTCTGCGGATATGTAACTCTGAATATTATAAGCTTATACTATTAATCACATCACATTATAAAGTACCTGAATTCCACGTCTTAAACTGGCGGCGTGCAACTGTGCAGTCACTCCAAGGTTTAAGAGATCCTCTGTGGTCAATCTATGTAAAACTCTACCATCGATCTTGGCATTGTGGAAAGCTTCCTTGTGCTGTGGCAATCCGATATCGTCTAGCCACCGTAACACGGCTGCATTATCCATCTGCGAGATATTAAAAAAGATCTTTATTCTCAAAGAGATTTTCTCATCTAAGAAAATTTGAGAATGAAGATACTTCATTCTCTCTGATATTTCAGAGATAACACAATGAAGTTATAATAACAACGACTGCAACCTTGTGAGAACCGAGAAATCCAGCGCCGTTGCTTCGCTCCGATTCGATGGCATAAAGTAATTTTTTCCTGTGCAGAGTGTTCTTTATGTCGAGCTCTTTCTCTAGTTGAACTTGTGTGGCGTCGAGCAGTTTCGATCCAGTGGCACCCCATCGTCTCAACTCACCAGCGTAACATTCCAGACCAAGGTGAGCCAACCAATCACTGACTTCTTCTATACTGAGTTCTGCGAGCGGTTTCGGTGGTAATAATTCTTGCACGCTCACCTCACTAATTACGATTTTCGTTTCTTCCGCTACAATGATAATGTTTGTTTATAAAATCATACACGGTATTAGTTATGAATGTTAAATAATTATATGTATAGTGATCCTTTGCATGATACTGCATCAATTTCGAGATTCTTTGTGGCAATTTTACTCGTATATAATTTTTCAAATACTTTTCTTATTAAAGCATTATACATAATTATAATCAGTAAACTATATTTGGGCTCCATAAAATTCCACAAAGTGATCAAATTATCAAAATTAAAATAAAAAAGAAGCACAATATTTATATGTTTATAAAAATTAATTTAAACTATGAAGGCTTAAAGAATATATTAAATAATGTCCGAATGCATGCGCATCAGCTATGATGAATGATTTGCAAGCGAAGTTATTTTTTCAATTAATCGCAACATGCTGTTACTCGAGTCAATTAATATTGAGATAACGTGTTCATCGTTAAACATATTTTAGCGTGACACCGCATGCTTAGATAAAGATCGATCGGAACCTAGAATAGGAGCGGACAGACATCTCGCAGAGACTCCCCTAACAGCCAAGGGTACCGTCGTATGCGCTCCCGAGACTAAATTTGGAACCTTACCAAATACAACGCCTTTCTTGGATGTCGGTGGCCTGGGAAGACTACTATATTGACCCGTATGTCTGCTGAATCTTTCACCCTGTAGACATAAAACTGCTCAGTAAATTTTATCACAGTATCCTGTATCTACAGTAATATAGAATTTAATATTATAAAATATATTAACTGTTAAAATATGTACTAACATTCGATAAAGGACTTGTACTACGCAGCGATAGATTTTCGTGCTCCAAACTGGCCTGTCTGAGTTTCATTTCGGACAAGGAGGTAAGAAGTTCCAATTTCTGTGTCTCCAAAGCGCTTCTTGATAAAACTTCCTATAAAAACAAACAAGCACATAAACTCTAAATTAATGAGTAACATCACGAGATAGTTTACCTTCTGTAATGCTTCTTCCATCTGTCTCAAAGTATCTTTCTTTTCCTGAAGTAAGCTCTCCAGTTCTTGAATCTTATTCGATTGTGCGTCAACCTGTTCAGACAAAACTGATACTTCCATATGTAATGCTCCACGTTCACTTTCCAACTTTCTCAATCGTTCCTGAAAAATAAATCAATAAAACGATCATTAATACCCTTTTTTAATGAAAAATTTCGTTATTTTGAAATACATGTAAATATTATACATGTAAATATTAAAATAAGGATCAAGGAAAAATTCGCATTTATGATACCACACAGTTAGAAGTTTTATTGAAAGTTCTTTTATACAGTATACCTCGGTCTTGCTATGATAATTATTTAGGCACATATTGCTTCCGCAATGAAATTGTTGCAATGAGCAGTAGTGGTGCGGTCTCTCTCTCTCATGGCAAAGTAGATCGCTATGAGACATAGCTCTTTGATCGCGGTCTACTCTACTGCGGAATCTACGTCGTCTTCTGTCCAAAGAACCGACACATCTTCCCGTCGAGTTTGCTGGCAGAGATGTCGTACTGTTCGTCCTGTTACCTGCATGTATTTCTCGCTCTTTCGCGAATATCGGATCTTGTTGTAGGTGACAAACATGTGGATAATGAGCGACACTTCTCGCATGTTCCTTAACAGCGTGATGCGCGAGATCGCTAGAAATGCTATCGATTTGCAAGAATCGATAATTTTTTAGAATTTATTAAGGATATTTGTATTTTTCGAGCAACAATATAAAAGTTAGAATTCTATATAAATAGTGACCTTGAACACGGCATCGTATAAAGAGATGGGAAACTTCCCAGATGCGCAGTCGACGCCGGGCAGATATTAGCCATACCGTTGGATACTGCACAGATATTAGGCATACTCCCTTGAAGCGCTATCATCTTAGCATACCCGAGTAAGCAAGCCTACAACGATATTATCAATATCTCATGGCGAAAGATATTTCATTTATATTTTTCATATAATCATATTTTACTAATTGCGATATACAATCTTGATCATAAATTTAAAGAATCCTCAATTTATTACAATTTTTTCTTAGAAAAGGCGATAATAAGAACTGACAAAATATTAAAATTATTATAAAGATAAATATTATATTTTCAATAAAACTATTTTTTAAATTTATTTTTCGTTAGATATAAAAAATTAACATTAATTTGTGGGAGTTCTTTATGATCAATACTGTATAAATACGATATTCCTTATCCAAATGACTTTTTTAAATTCGATTTCTCTATCTTAGATCTACCTGACATAAACACTCCTGCGATCGGTAAGCTGTCTGGCAAGCGATTGTCGGTTCAGATAGATCTGCTCTGCTATCCTGTGAATAATCCTCGACGTACTCGTCACCTTCGTCAGAGTTAGTCGACGTGCCCGACGAATCGTAGCCCTCTGAGGGCGTCCATCGACTGTTCCAACGCTTTATAGTCGACGCCGCGTCGGACGAGTCCGACTGAGAATCTGAATTTAGATACGTTTGAAGCTTTTTTTAATTCACGCACATGAAAGGTTCAAGAAGTTCCTTCCATCGACAGTGCGATGAATTTTCTAAGATTATAACACGCTCCGATCTATTTTTCGCATGACCTCGACGAATATTTATTTTATCAGAAATTGAAACAATAATCGATCCCGCGTACTATACTCGTACTCGAGATTATGAGTCAATGAACGTATGTGCCTTCGACGGTCAACTACGGCGCGTTCCGTAGTTAAGGCAATCTATTTCGAGCATGCCATTTATTCGAGCACCATCAAAAGCATAACTTCGGTGCACTGGCCAGCCAAAGTGAGCTAGCCAGCCACACGATTTTAGTACTGAAACTCGACGAGTCCCGCAAACTCGTCTGTCGGACGTCTGCCAAGTTATATCGTGCTGTTTAATCGAAATCGAATATCATGGCTTTGCTTTCGCGAAAGTCGTAAACGCGAAAGTCATAGAAATATGTAACTTTCACATTCGATTGAAAATACAAAATTGACCTACTCGAGACGTACTTTGATTCGGGCGATATCGGAAAATAAGTCCCGATTTAATCAAATACTATTGTCGCTTTAATTTTCCAATCTTGTATGATGTCACGCGGAATGGGAAAAAGGGTTAAAGAGAAACCTTTCGCTTGTCCTTTGTCCTCTTCTTCCATTATGGGAGTGAGATCCTTCCGTTCTCCAACGATACCGTCGCTCCAGGTGTTCTCCATGATAAATTTTATGCGGTACGTTTTATTTTACTAAATTATTGCGCTTGCTTTCTAGTCGCGCTGACAATCGATATAAAACACATTACGATCTTATGCTTGGTCCAGTGAAAGATGTATTAACGTCAGAATACTTTTTCCAATAAAAATCACATTTCCATCACTTACTTTCTCTCACAATATTTATTATAATAGACACTTGGTGTGACGTTGTCAGATATCGTGCATCGTGCAAAGTGTATTCAGGATTCTGATATCGGCAGGTTTGTACACAATCGAACGTTATCTCGGTGAAGTGCACTCTCGCGTTACCAGCCGCGACATCGTCTCCGCCGAAACTAAAATTAACGTCATGAAATCCTTCGTGAAGAGCGGGAGGGAGCTCGCAAAAGAGAAAGAAGGAGAGAGAGGAGCAATTTATAAATAGATTAATGTACTCTCTTCTCGTTACCTATGACGATCGCAACTATTAAATGCTTCTCATCATTAGCTATTTAAACTGCATAAAAAATAAGGTAATGAAAATGTAACTATAAAAATGCATAAAAAATTATCTTCGCTTGTTCACACACACATATGGTGCGTGCGCGCGTGTGTGTGTGTGTGTGTGTGTGTGTGTGTGTGTATACATAGAAATTATTGTCAATTATATACTTACTTTTGTAGGCAAGAGAGAAATTCTACCGACAATATATACTGACATAGTTATGAAAACTATAGTTATAAACGCATAGTTATGAAAACGATGGCAATTAAAAATGGATTCTTAAGCCATGGTCGATTTCGACCGCTGTCGATCGATATCAAATCCGTGATTACGATCCAATGATTACAAAGTCAAACGTCCGGATGTACGCACGGACATACGTGACCGATGTACATCATGGCGATTAAATACGCGTGCGAACACGTGCGTACCGATACACAGCGTGTACCGGATGCGAACGCGGCTCCGGATGCACGAGGCGGACACCACACGTGTTCCTCGCACGACATCCGAGTTGATCGCGAAAATTGTTCCTATTTCCGGAACATGTCATCTTGAAAAGCGGAAGGGCAAAATTCTGAGGAGATGACGCTTATCCTTCGGTCGTTGACGAGTGTGCGAGTAGCATAAAATCGCTGGGACAGAGGCTGGAACAGCTATCTGTTTGTTAGCTTACCGGCTGCATCCACGCCAAGAGGATGTTTTGAGTGACGCCATCGGGCGGCGGGGGTGGCATCGGTGCGCCCTTTATCGCAGTTACCAGATTCCTTGCCGCCTCTTTCACCGAGTTCTTCCACTCCGAACTACTCTCGGCCGAACTTTCGGCACAAGCACCTGCAAATGTATTTATAATATAATAATTGCGCAGAAAGTGATCACAATGTCATTCGAATGTCATTCAATACTAAGGTAAGGATAAGGTAGGCTTATGAGATCTGCGATCTATTATACTTTAAATTCATTATACTTTAAGTGAGTCCAGAATTTCAATCAGGAAGGAGCAAAAATTATTTATTTTTACACAAAATTTTTACACTTATTAAAATATTTGTATTAAAATCAGCCTTCGAGAATTTTCAGCAAATTTTCTAATTCACATATAAGGCGTAAGTTACAAATTGAGCGATAAACATTTAATTTTTCATTATAAAAATAATTTTCACAATTCATTTCTTCTTGTCAAAATTTAAGGGAAAGATTTAAAATCCTCCTTCCTCCCTTGAGAGGGAAACCCAAGTTTTAAATATATACATCAAGTGGATATAAAAAAATTATAGGTTTGCCTGATTTTTAAAATGAATATTTTTCTATCTTTTTTTTAATGACATAAAATCTATAGTATTTATCCCCCTATTTTTCTTTTATAATATATCGCATTAATAACGTATTTACAAAATACAGAATTCTCAAATATATTCATATAAATGATACATTAAAATCTATTACATCCATATTTGATATGTACACAAGTGACATTTGTACCAGAAATAATGTCGTCCATCTGGAGCAACGCGGCCTCCAGCATCTTGCTGGCCTCGTTCGACCTCTTTCCCAGGAATGTCGATTCGCCCGCCTGCGCCGTCGTGCCGTTTCTCTCCTCACCTTTGCCCATCACTTAACGCTGCAAGAGGAAAATTATCATTCTTAACTGTTGATATTTTCACTCCGAATAATATTTTTCCGACACGCTCTGCAAAATCCTTCTTTAAAACTCGATATCTCTATGAATGGAAGTACTTGCTGAATGTTACACGCGAAACGACATGAAAGCTCAACCGCTGATTCATAGGCTTTCCAGACGACGTAAGTGCAACGTCGCGAGGTGCGATGCACTGTAGATATAATTGTGCGACGTTCAGGACTGTTCCATTTAGTCAATAGCATGCGGGTGAGAGAAATTACACAAATGGATTCTAAATTATGTAATCACATTTTTTAATAATTTTGTTCTTATAACATTTTATATAAAATTGCAATTATATCTAATAAAAACGAGATATTTGCTCGAGAAAAATTTATTTAAATAATTTCGAATTGTATTCTATTATATTGTTTTTAAATTAATTTATAACGAAAAATATTTGCAGCAGATTAAAGCAAAAAACTACAGTTGAAAGTAGCTTTATAACTTTATTGTTTGTTATAGAATTTTTTTAGAGATATCTGTAGTAAACAAGAAGACTTTTTTACTGTATAGTAAAAAAGAAGAAATAGTTTTCCTTTAGTAAACTGCAGTAAAATCGTAAGTTTCTAAAACAATTATTTGCGAAAATATCTTCAATTTGATCATTTTCTAAATTTATTTGCGGGTTATATGTATATCGACCTTAAAGTTTTTCAAAAATGAACACAATTATCTTCAAAATTTAGACACCTGAATCATAAATAAAAAAACCAACATAATTCTAGCCAAAAATAGAGATATCGCTTACATCGAGCTCGAAATCCATCGAAAAGCACTTAACATATATAAAATGGACATAAATTCTTATCAGTGATAAAACATATGAATTTGATAATTAATCGCAAAAAAAAAAGATAAAGTGAGATATGTGAGAACCACAAGAGAAAGAGAAAGAGAGAGAGAGAGAGAGAGAGAGAGAGAGAGAGAGAGAGAGAGAGAGATTGAATGTCATGAGACGATCACTCGGATCTTTACCGTAGCATCTCATGATAAGAATGATCACCGGAGCTCACAGATATAGTAAAACAATGACAATCACACAAAGAGATAACACGCATGCAAACGACGATCAACAGGTACTGAAGAGTAACGCCCAACATTCTGCCACCATAACATATACCATGTCACTGTCTCTATCTGTCTCTCTTTCTCTCTCACTCTTCTCTCTCTTTTTCTCCGTCTTCGTTAATTCTTCTTCACGAGCGCAGCTGTATCAAGCTCAAATAAATCATTTCGCGCGTTTACAAATTATTTATGTACTTTCCTGGAGCGCTCATTTATAAATTAATATATAAGATAAATATATCCAGATAGCCAAATCTGTTAAAAAATAGACTGTTACAAAGTACTCATTGTTTGTTTTATCGGCAGAATGTCAGCAGAAATATAATAGAATCCAATGGCACTGCAGAAACCGAGCAGAATTTGCTATTTTGTAATAATACATTTAATTTAAATGATCATAAAATGATAGACTCTGTTCGGTTTTTGCTGGCAATCTGCTCAGATTATTGACAGGTTCAAGCTCCAATCTACTGACAAACTAGATCTGTTCTCTTTCCATATTCCAGGTCTGAATTTCTTACATAGTTCATGTTTTGTCCTTTTTTCTCCAATATAAAAAGAAACAAATGAGGGCAAAAAGTTCTGGAGTATGGAAACATAACAAATCTACTTCTGGCATACTTAACATTTTATTTAATACACAGAGTAGCTATTAAGTAGATTTTAAGTGTGATTGTTCACACTAATTCAAGAAAACTTCATATGATCATGTATCCGAAAGAACTTAGTTTCAAATATCAAGGTGTCAAAGTTAAAGGTAAAAAAAAGTTTGGTTTTTTCTAAAAATTTTAGAAATCATTTAAGTTATTGTAATAGAACTTTAAATATATATAAAATTTTAGCAAAAAACTCGAATGATTTTCGAAATTTTTGAAAAAAACCAAATTTTTTTCCTCAACTTTGACATCTCTTGAATCTCTGAAACTAAGTCGTTTCGAATATATGAAGTTTTCATCTTGGATTTTTTATGCATTCCTTAAAATCATTTAGATATAATAGCCACCCTACATTACAGGTGAGTCAATAAATAATCTTAATTTTGTTCTAAAAAAATCAAGATATACATTAAGAATACTTATTGACTCATTCACTATATTACATATACACAGTATATATTACATCGTTATTAACATAATTATGTACGAAATAGATGCGAAGAAGAGCACTTCCTTAATTTCTCTACTTATCTATTTATCGATTTATTACAACATATTTTCAAGAAATTAATAAGGACGTAACATATCGGGGAGGCGTGGGGATAGAAATTATATGACGTCTCAGAATTGCAAATTACCTGTTTACGTCAGTCGGGATCCGTCGACTTGCGGATATTGGCCGTACGTACGATAAGCATTGATGACACTTACTGAAATATGAAATTCGTGAGACGATAATCAATCCGCGCCGACGTCACAACAATGATCCTCGCTGTCCGCAACGAGGCATAACGGAATTCCGGTCAAGTTTCGCGAGAAGTCAACAAACAACGTAGTTGCACGCAGCGGAGCGCAGTGAAGTGCACCGCGAACGCGAATCGGAAATGAGGTGAGGTTAGGTCGGATCGGAGTCGCACTTCACGGAATCGATACAATATGCAGCGAGAAACCGCGCGTTATCGAGAAACTACTTGATCACATTGGATATCACACTGGATATCACTCATCCGACGATATTAAAAGGAAATTGCGTCGCTTTTGATGACTCCATTTTCACTCCTATCACGTTCTTGAGTTAAAATTCACGAGGGTTTTTAATAGTTAGTAGGATTTAGTGCCTTCAATCTCATCGCCTTGAGGATGACTTTCCAGCAAGAGTCAAGAGTCAAGTACAATAATATAAATGAGACAATGTAACAATGAATTATTTATGAGCTCTTGTTATTAAATATTAAACAAAACTAAAGGTTATAAGTGTTTTCCAGCAAGAGACACAGATGACAGTTGTAAATGAATGAACCATTACACCCTCATTTTGCCAATTCCAGCAAATGAGAATGGATTGAAATGAATTGAAATGGATTCAGATTTTCAGAAATATTGATTCACGAATATTAAAATAAATGCTTTTCAATTCTGAATGCATTTTTATTCATTCATTTATAGGAATTGCATGGAGCATATCTCTCTTTCAATCTAAAAATAATATTAGCTTTTTCTGTGCACAACACACATTGTGAATACTGTTCAATTCAAAATTTTGTGTATAGGAAATGCAGTTTTTCAATCCAATTGTATCCAATTGAATCCAATTGAATCTAATTAAATCCCAGAAAAAATATTCGCTATTTAAAATACGCATTCGGATAGAAAAAAATTTCAATCCATTTTAATCCATTCTCATATGATGGGATGTTAAATAAAAATGAACTGATTACTGTGTTATATATTTTTTGCTGGAAACCACCATAAAAGATCACTATAAACTTTCTCCTGCTGGAAAGACTCATATATGACGCTTAGGTACTAGAATTCTTGATGTACATTCCTTTCAAATAATTTTGCCCAACTTAATATAATTGTAAATAATTCCAATTTTGTCCCAATGACCTTTTTTGATTAAATATCTATTTTTTTATTCTTGAATTATTGTACACTTCTTAGATTTCAAATAAAAAAAGCATATATATATATATATATGTTAGTTCAGTATTTAATAAAAGCAAGAAGGAAAGTTAAGAAAATTCTAGTGCAGCATGATGCAGCAGTAAAAACAAACTTATGTAATAATTCACATAAGTGGATTAGATGAATGGATGAATAGATAGATAGCTCTATTTATCTTGCGCTTCAGGATTAATCCTTTCGAACGCTCAAGCAAATTCCACAACGATGTGCTAAACAAACATTTACAGTAATAAATCAATAACACTATAAAACAATAAAAAAATCACAAAAGAAAAATGATTGTAATAAAAAAAATGTTAGGGAACAGCAGCGTGAATCGAGGAAATATCCGAAACATCCCGGAACATTAATCATCTATTGCGCGTAAACACGCCGTACGATGGCGAAATAACGACATATGATGTTTGACAGGTCAGGAATTGAAATACGCGCGCGATATCACGATACCAACCTCGGATCGCGCGGTGAGGTTAGGTTCGCGCGAAGGAGTTGCGCGCGCGGCCTCGATCGCGAGGTCGGCGTGAACTGTGAAGTTCGCCGAGGTTCGCACGTCGCGATTCCCGCATCGGCGTCGTCGGCGCGATATCAGGGTATCACGCGGTATCCGTCAATCGACGAGCTACGGAGCGGATCCGCGTCGTCGTTGTGAACGTCGGCGACGCGGTTGGCAGCAGTGTCGATATCGGTGAGCGAGAGAAGTGCCGTACGGACACCTCGCGCTTCCGTTACATTTTATTTGTGTGTGGCCGTGCGCGGGTATTGCGGGGAGGAAACGGAGGAGAGAGAGAGAGAGAGAAAGATAGAGTGAGAAGAAGAAAAATAAAAGTGTCGGGGAGATGCGTGTGTTGCGGCAGCGATCGAGCGATCGTGAGACGTGAGTGTCGGGCGGCGCGCGAGGACGAGCGAAATTCCGTCGTGGCGTCGAGGAAGGTGCGGAAGGTGCACCCGCGGTCCCGATCCCCCCCGTGGAATGTGAGTAAGTGGCACGCAAAACCGAGAGCGAGAGAAGTGTCCCCCGTCTCCGTTCCGTTCGTACGTTTCGTCCTTTCCCCCTTTCCCCCCTTTTAGCCCACTCCTCCTCTCGTTCGCCAATCGTTTTTTTCTCTCGCCTCCTCCGCCGTCGCGCGCGCGACCGCCAGAGACTTTCCGCGGAAAAGCCGCGAAAACTACGTCACGAGTGACGGATTCGGTCGAAACTGGGACAAAGTGCAGTGCACTCTGGCATTGCGCTTTACCACCAGGTGTTTCTATGCCGTAATCTTCCCAGGATTGGGTAACACTCGTACCGTTGCACCTTGCTCTCTCTCGGACACCCTTCTCGGAGTCGCGTATTCACGCGCGTGCTCTCTCTCTCTCTCTTTTTCCCTCTCTGTTTCTCTCTCTCTTTCGCGCGGAGTATCTCGCAAAAATCCGCACGGTTGACAGCGCCTGACAGAGAGATATACGGGTATCGGAGCCGCCGGAGAGAGAGCTGACAGGTAAAGGTGGCATCGAGCGCGCGACGGCGCGAGATGCGAGCGGACGCGAGCTCGCGCGTAACGTCACGGTGATCGACAGTGTTAAATGGTGAGACTCACTCTCTCTCTCTCTCTCTCTCTCTCTCTCTCTTTCGCGCCGTCAAGACGCGCGATTAAAACAGCGGTTTCGTTTCTCCGAGGATTCGCGATGTCGACGAGAGATTCGCTCGCACTCTCGCTACGCGTGAGCGAGCGAACGATCACTAGTTCTACGTAGCGATTAGCAAAACGTGTTCCTGCATCGCGCTTTAAAATTTCGCGACGTGTCCGCGAACGTGGTGACGACGAACGGGTTGACGCTATGTAGGGCACGACGATATCGGGTCGAGTGTCTCGCGCGACGAGCCTCCCGTTCGCTCGACACGGCGAAATATGGAACGCGAAGCGCGTCAGATGATCGATCCTTCCTTGCAGTTCCCTGATAATGCTTCTCGGTTCTTCGGAAAGTTAACGAAAGTGTGATCCGTTTAAAGAGATATAGTTGTATTTAAATGAGTGAATGGTGATCGGTGATTTGACGTTTTTGACGTTTTTGACGTTTGGGACTCTCAAAGCTGTTATGTGAATTCAATGGGTAGCTGCTCGTGTTTGATGCTTAAGAATAAACTTGATTAATCCAAGTATTTGTCGTCTTAGGTTAGATGACGGACTCAAGATAGTCCTTCCGCCTGGTAACATGTCAGATGGGGTTGACGGTGGTGGTGGGGAAAACGAGGTAGACTCCCATTCCTCTTCGCAAGCCGAAGCTGGGGACTCTTCTAATCATAGGGAAGAAGAGACGTTGGATCCTGATAACGAAGCAGCTCTCAATACAAATTATGACAGTAGCGATGGAGCTGTTCCTGCGTTTAGGTGAGATTCAAAACATAGCTTTATTGTGTGATTAATCTTAAAGTTTATTTTGCAACCGTTGAGACTTTTCTTCGCAGCGATAAGACTATTTCTCTAGATCTAAATATATAATCTAATTAGTACAAAGAAAATTTACAACAGTTGTAAAATAAGCATTCTGCTGAATGTAGTTATGATTGCATTTAGCAGAGAAAGCAGCTTTGCAACTGTTGTAAAGTAATCCTTTGATGTGATTGGTCTGACCCTTAGTTTCTCACTAGATCTAGATAAATCAATCATATTAAAGAATTGTACAACAGTTACATAGTTGCTTTTTCTGCACAGTCATTATCAAGCGACAGTTATCAGCTGATTAGAACGATATTCTATTTTGATTCCATTTCTTGATTATATATGTCCAATTTCTTTAATTTCATAGATGTGATAGATGCGACAATTACGAGACTATAAATAAAACGGCTTTCTCCGCTCACCAAGATCAATGCCTGGCAAGTGGCGAAGCTGGAGAAAGTGCTGAAGGCATAGAAGGAACAGAAAATGATGGGGATGCGGAAGAGGGCCATTCGGGGATCAGGTCTCACAGAAAGATGTTTGAATGTGATGTTTGTAATATGAAATTTTCAAATGGAGCTAATATGAGAAGACACAAAGTGAGTATAGGAAGATTATATAATAAAAAGACTTATGTTGATGTTACTTATGATGCATTACACATTTAACACTGGATTATTATCGATTATTATTGATTATTTCTATTTTTTAGATCAATATTATATTAAATTAATTTATTTTTTATGTAAAAGATAGAACTGAAATTTTTTGATTTTCCAATAATTATATCTTTTGTACTGATATTTGATGTTTTATTACTTCCTTTATTTTTATAGTAATTTATTTATTTGATTCTTTTTTTAGTGAGTAACACATGTTTGTACGTATTAATTGGTTATCAACAAAAGTAAATAGAATTTTTAGGTATAGAGTGATGGGCAACCTTTTATTAAGATTTATACTTTCAAAAATAAGTAAAATCTTGCTGGTTATAACGTGTATTTTGTTTGCATAAAATAAAAGGTATGATTTATATTTTCGACTATGTGGATTGCAAAAAATTCACAGCCGAGCTTCCAGGTTGCGCATCACTGCTATAGGCGATAGTGTAAATATATAATTCTTTTGAATTATATATTCTTATGCTCTTAAATAATCATTCTTCATACTAAATAAATATAGTTATGAACGTTTAATCTATTCCCCCTTTTATCTTTTAGATGAGGCATACAGGTGTAAAACCATACGAATGTCGGGTATGTCAGAAGAGATTCTTTCGGAAGGACCATCTTGCGGAACACTTTACGACACATTCAAAAACTTTGCCATACCATTGCCCGATATGTAACCGAGGTTTCCAAAGACAAATCGCGATGCGTGCTCACTTTCAGAACGAACACGTCGGTCAGCACGATATGGTTAAATCGTGTCCTCTCTGCAATTATCGTGCGGCTACCATGAAATGCCTTAGGTTGCACTTCTTTAATAGGTAAGTGCGTGAATTATTTAAGGAAAGTGTCATTGCTCTCATATATCATATATATATATATATATATATATATATATATATATATATATCTTATTGTTTGTAGACATGGAATAGATTTAGATAATCCAGGACCAAATAGCTCTACATCCATAATGAATAGTTGCACGTCCGGAGAGGCGATGCCTTCGGCACCTCTGTCTGATAGCGGGGATAGTACTGGCAACCGTTCGACCGACAACGCCACGCCCCCCATGCATTTCCTTACGCCCCATGTGGAGATATCCATTCCTTATCCCGAACAAGCTGCCAATCAACGAAATCCAAGTCCTGCCCCGTTGAACGGAGACAGTCCCAATAGTCCTCAGAGCGCCGACAGCAATAGCAATGCACCAAGCAGTAGTCATCATCAATTATCTATCAATAGCAGTACCATTCATAGGTGAGCATCTAAAAAATCACTAAATTTATTAGTTTATAAAATTTATTAATATTTATTGCAATGATTAATTGTCAAAAATTATTACAAATTATTTATTAGAAATTTGTATAATCTTTATGTATTAACGTTAATCTTTATAATTATTAACTTCGATTTGATTGATAAATTATGTGTGCTTATAGTTTAGATATTAGAAATACCGACAATTAATTACAATCCAAATGACATAAATTACAGATCGGATTTTCGCATTTTTCTTAGGAACGTAGGCGGAGGCGACGAAGCTATTACACCTTCGATCTCCTTAATACCCATCAAGCAGGAGCCAAACAGCAACGGTATGGATGATAGTGGGGCGACATCGAGCAATCTACCATTACCATCGCTAATCAAGGTGTCGCCATTAAAATCGTTGCTGCGCGATGATCTTCGCCGTAAGCTTTCCACCAGTACCACCAATAACAACAATAACAGTAGTAATAACAGCGGTTGCGGTGGCGGCGTTAATTCTAATCCACACTCGAGGGGCGAACCACCCACTTCGACCAGGCCGGATCCTCGTACGAGCGGCCTCCAGTGCACTCACTGTCGCATTACATTTCCGGATCAAACGTTGTACTTCCTTCACAAAGGTTGTCACAGCGAGAGTAACCCGTGGAAGTGCAATATTTGCGGGGAGCAGTGCTGCAATCTGTACCAGTTCAACTCGCATTTACTGAGTAAAAGTCATCAGTAGCTGGGAGGAGAAAGCAGAGAAGTATCCGCAATTAAGAAATTCGTTTTTCCTTTTCCCATTTCTTCTACTTCTTTTCTTTTCCTTCTTCGTTAAACGAAACAAAACGGCAGGAGATTCGGTATGTATGTATCTTACATACGTTCAGTGTTCATTAGCATGAAGGTATAAGTATTTTCTGCGACATGTCCAGACATATTTCTCGCTAAAATATAATTTCAGAAACGCATAAGAATGCGCCGAAATATAACGGTAAATCAGTTGTAAATTGAATTGTAAATTATTTTTAAGAATTCGAGAGAGGGTATGTCTGTTCCCTCAGAAAATAATGTACAAAGCGCGACAAATTGTGCCTTTCCTTTAAAAAGAGAAAAAGGAAGAGAAAATTGCGAGAAAAAAAGAAATTGCCAACACACTCGTCCATCATGCTGTTATATTATATGAACTATCCGTCCATAGGGCTTTATCGAGATATATTCCGAGCTCTATCATTAGTCTTAAATTAATAAAGTAAGTATAGAAATGCAACGGGGTACGTTGCGAATTGTGAAAAGTAAAAAAAATATATATATATATATATATATACATAGCTATGTTGTGCTTTCATCGCAAAAAAGTGCGACATTAAAATTTCATGTATTGGGTCGGAACAAAAGTTCATAGAGCTACGAATTTCGTTACAGTTGCTTAAATGTTAAAAATTACTAAAATTTAAATTAAAAAAAAAAAAGTTTTAAAACTTAAAATCTCTTTCGAAAGGTGTCTTTTGAGTTTGGTAATTTTTTGCAAAATAGGAAATTTCTTATTTTATAGGCCTGTCATGTGCCCAAAAAAGACTTGCAAAATTTTTGGCTTTCTAACAAGCTTACAATTTTATAATAAAATCATTTATTAAAAATATTCTTAAGGTTTTTGATACTGAGTTATCACGGATTAAATATGCTCATAATTCTGTTTAAAGATTGTCAAACCGCAATTAAAAAAACAGATTTTTAAAGCTAAAACTTTGCTCTATCGAATGATATAATTGCCAAATTTTTTTAAAAAACATATGATATAAATAAAATAATATGCTACGAACTTTTATTCTAACCTGATAAATAGATAGAAATTATTTAGTTGACGTTGTGCGGTTTGGATGATAGAGGCAAGGCGCGGATATAATCCATCAGAAGTTTATTTTGTAGATTGAGGGAGAGAGAAGGAAAGAAACGCATTTATATTATTGTTTTAAGGCCAGGCCCTCTAAAGACAAAGAAAAATTGTGCAAAATATGTAGAAGAAAAAGAAAGTATGTATATTTTTTGTTTTTGAGTGTTTAAAACCTATGCGCGTAGAATTTATATAGTAGAAGAGCAATATCACGAATTATCGAACAATTATGTATCCTTTAATAATTTCGCGATGTGGATTTTCACACGGATTCGAGAAGCAGCTCTATCGAGATATTGTACAAATTTGAAGAATACGAAACGTTGCGTTCATCGAAAGAATGTCGGCACGACGTGTTGATACATGTGGATACCGTTGTATCGCGACGCGACAGGTATTGCCGCGAGTTCCATCTATTCTTCTTTCTCCTTTAGATAGGAACGTTGCGTCGCAGTGAGAAACCAGTGTAAAACCGCGAAGCGAGGATGTACAGGATACAAAAGCTAGCCGGGCGTGCGTTATTAATTATTAATACGACAGGGGGCAAGTTCGAGAGGTGTGACTTTTTAGCCGAGGGCTCGTACGTACCGGGCAGGTATCTCGATCCGTTCACTTTGGCTAGGGTCGCCTCTCTCCTCCTTTCTCGCCTTTGATTCGATAAATATTTTATATATAAATATTTGTACAGAGAGAAAAAGAGTATTAGAGGAGAGAGAAAGCACGAAGGGAAGAACATTGAGATAGCGTATATATACACCTAATATATATATATATATATATATGCCGTTTCACGCAATGAGACGAAGAAATATACGTACACGCGGACACTGCTGTAAATGGTTGTAGTTATTTAAAATAACTATTCTGTATATCGCATAGTATTTAATACGATTATAATTATTTATTAGAGTCTAAGTAATTTATTATTGCTTTGCATTCCAAGAGGACCGGAGACCACGGGACTATACGATTAAATAAGCGAATGTCTTAATATTATATTAACGGTGCTTTTCTAACAGAGCCGACGTCGCATAATATAATTTATAACGGACGAATTTTCACGTGTAAAACAAAAAAGATAAAAAAACAATGAGCGCCGAGAGAAATCCGTCGGGCAGATCTCTCGCGCATAAACGAATGCAACGTACACGAATTATTACTATCTTCGATCGATATAACGTATTTAAGAGCTATCGCGAAACTACCACTATTTTGTACGCAGGGCACGTATGTTCATTATTAGGAACACGTTCGTCATTCGCACTTTCGATCCTTATTATTAAATCATTGACGTACAAATCTTTTTAGATACCTTTACAAAAAAAAAAAAAAAAATGCGCGCGCTTGTCGTACTCTCGTGCGGCTTCTCGGGGCGGAATCGTGAACAAAAAAAGTGCCTGATTGGGATTATTTCATCGAGGATAAAAGAAGTTGTGTATAATTCGTGCGAGGAAAGGGATAGGAAACTTTAGTCGAAAAGAATGAGAAAAAAAGAGAAAGAAGAACGGAGAAGAGAGCGAAAGATGTGATTAAAAAATGCAGATGTACTAAACACTGGAGCGTGTGTTAACCCGTGTTCACACCATATGTGCTTACCGCTTTAGCGTATATAGCGACGCCTTTACACTGTGATCACGTTTACAAAGAAAATAGTCTTAAAGCTAGAAGATAGACGTAAAGGTATATATCTTAGGGCAAGCGAGAGTACGACGAGCACAGCCTTGAGTGTGAGACAGGCGTTTAGACACCCACGACAAGCCACCCACACCCACCTTATTCCCTCGACTTTCCCTTCCCCCCCACCTTCCCACAATTTATTTATACATACGAATAAAGATATATTTAAATCGATAAGAATGGAATTAAAAAAAAATATTGTTGATGTTACTACGGTGTAATGGGTACAATCTAAATACATGAATATTATGTATATAAGGAATAGAACGGAGAGAATTTTTATCGTACACGTCTTATTCTCTTTCTTTCTGGCTCACCAGTCTCTAACTTCCCTGTAATAGAATCCAGGCTTTGTGCGTGACGGCACGTATAAGCTCGCAATTTACTCGTTCTGTTACTTCGTCAAGAATTACTTCTTAGAAAGTATTATACAACACAATTTTCAATAATAATATTGGAAATGTGTAGATAATAAAATTAATTGATTCATATTTCTGCGTCTTAAAGCGACATACTCATAATTTTCCAGAAATAGATGTATAATATTATTTATTCCGTAATTTTTAAATTTAATATCTATTAGTAAAAATATCGAAAAATATTTGTCTAGCTACAAGCTATTTAAAATAAAAAGCTTTTCGCAAAAATAAAAATTCAAAATATTCAAAAATAAATAGAATGTCATTTTTTTTTTATTTGAGAGAAAATAGGCATTAATCATTTTTTGATTGAAAATTATTTAAAATAAAAGACTTTCTAAAATTAAATTCTAAAATATTTCGAAAAATATAGAATAAAGAAATGTAAAGAAAAATAAATGACAATATTTGTATTCTCTATTAGTTAAGGAAGTAATTGGACTAAAAGTTCACATGGAATAATAGTCTTTCTCATGTCTTTATATTGTTACTAAAAAAAAAATTGATAAACCTCCTGTCTAAATCTATGAATATCCTATATGTATTTTTTATACTTGACATTTCCCGGATATTGCAGGTTCTTCTTATGTGTCGTCTCCACCTGTTCCAGGAAAAAAATAAAGACAGCCCATCGATAAATGTTACAATCTTACTTTATTGCTTGCGTTACCATGCGTTTATGAATACAGAAGCGCTTTATATTACAGTGTTCGTCGTGTTAAAGCTATCAGAAAGAGGAAGAGAGAAATAAATAGAATTCCCCGGACACACGACCGTGTCGTTCGTTGCTCGAGTTGCCTTCGAGCTCCGGGACACGGCAGGAGACATCGCATCTCCTCATAACGGTTTTATTAATTTTTCAGGGAGAAATAAACAAAGAGAGAAAGAGACAAGTTGCATGTAATCTGACTTGACCAAACATGTGAAAAATTTCAATTTGTTCAATGTTTTATTGCATTCTCTCTTTCTCTTACATAAAATAATTTCGGTTTTGCGCCAACAATAGTAGATAAATGTGGAGTAATTTCTCTGAATTTTCAAATTGCACCATCCAGATGTTATAGCACCATTATAATATATAAGAGAAAGATCGGGTGATATATTGGACAGAGCTGATATTGGATAAGAATTGTTTAAAATTTTACAAGCGTGTGGCAGCATTTGTCAAATCATTGGATAAATCTAGCTGCACATGAAAGCCAAGACCTTTTTATACTGAGAACAAAGTGTTACTAAAAAAATATAAGATTAAAAAGGTGACTTGGGTGTAAAAGAAATGTCTCATATTATATTACACTTAATTTTTGCCGTCCAAGAAAATAAAATCTTCAAAAAAATCTAAGGTGTCAGATTCACCTGATTTCATGTTAATAAGAAATTCATTATAATAAGAAATTTACATAAGAATTTACTTTTTATAAAAAGAGATTTAACAATCAAATTGTAATTAATCGATCGATTACATTAAGAGACAAATTAATAAATTTGAGTCATTTAACTTAAATTTTAAGAGATTTTTTTTACAAAGATTTGTTTGTCTAAAACATAAGAATATATTTTAAGAATTGATTACATTGCGACGTTCTTTACTAATTAGCAATTTTTTCGTTTTTTTTTATTCTGATAATCATAATTGTGGAAAGAGATTCAAAATATTTAGTTCATCTGCACAAGTAACGTTGGCGCAGCCGATCCAAAGTGTGAGTATTCGATTGCCTGATTGTAACGAATTACACTACATTACATTTAATAATATTACAAAATAGACGTAGTTTCGACTTAATGCTTAGCTGCTGTTCCTCCGAATGTGCTGAATTCTTCGTCAAAGGTAGACGAATTGAAGACAGTCAATAGAATCTGATCTGCAAGACTGTCCTCGGAATTATACTAGAAGATTTTATAATTTTCATTTATCTCAACGAGAACATCTCCAGAAATTTTCCCGCGAGTTTCTTCTCCTCGCAAGGCTGATTTAATTTTGAGAACGCTTGAGAAGCGCAAAATCGATTCTGTTAGACCCTTGTTGGAGCTCATTGAGAGAATCGGAAGGAGGTACTGATTATAATTCGTTCGGATATCTTTCGTGATGAAAATGACTCTAAGGCCAGTATTCATAGTCGATTCTTATATTTAAGAATCCTAAGTACAGTCTTAAGATGACCTGAATCAAATTAGAGAGAGCTGCATTTCTTAAAACATTACTTAGATGGTCTTAAAATAAGAACGAACTATGAATACCAGTTTAAATTTATGAAAAAACGCACGATTTCTACATAGTAAGTCTAAGAATGATATTAGTCCGTTCTTATTTTAAAATCGTTTTAAGTAATGTTTTAAAGTGCTAATACAGCTCTCTGATTGATTCACAACATTTAAAGACTGTAGACGGTCTTAAATATAAGAACCGATTATGAATATCGCTCTAAGAGAGCCCGTTTCGTTTAAGGGGATCCCCAATCAATCGCCCTGATTCGTCTTGTGACTGAGAATGGTCTCGATGTTACGTTGAATCCGTGCGATTTGCGATCGTTTACTCCTCGGTGTCGTTGTGCCCCCCTCTTCGATGTACAAGTTGCCGGTTGCTGCCTCCGGCCAGCCAGCCGCCGCCGCCGCCGCCGCCGTTGCAGCCGCCGTCGCCGTCGCCGCCGTCGCCACCACCGGAGTCTCCCGTTTCCGGTCTGCAAGCAGAGTAAACGAATCTTCACCGTCCCCGTTGGTCAAGTGCGAGCGAAGGGAGAAGCTCATCAGGCTCTGCGTTTCGAAACGCAGAGATCTTGTCGCGAGAACGCGATTTGAGACAACATTTTTATATAAAGTAATATAAAGTAATTTTTTATTCGGCTGTGTACAGAGATATTTCGCGTCTCTTTTATTTATTTACAACTAATTTGATTCAAGCGGATTAATGTTACTCGAACTCGAAGAATTTTTCGAGAAAAAAAAAGAAGAAACTCAATAAGCAAGAATTAACATTTCGAAACATTTCAGCAACATTGCAACAATGTTGTAACGCATGATGACGCATTTAAAGTTGAAACGCGTGACTTTGTTATCGATTAATTCATTTATCAGTTTACTAACTTTGTAATATAAGAAACTGTTGTAGAGAGAGAAAGGAGGACATAAGGAGGTGCAAGATAAGAAAAACATATTATTAGAAAAGATATATCAAGAGAGAGGCCATGAAGCTAAGATAAAAGACTATCAGTATTTTTCCGTGAAAATTGTGCAAAATAGTAAGAAAATTATAATATCAAGAAGATATTACACTGTTAGAAATGTAAACATGAGCTTCCTTTACATGTAAATGAAGCTCGTGGTTACGAATGAAATTAAAAGTAATGAATGATTTAACTGAAA